TGAATTGTTTCTTATCAAATTGGAATTCTTTATGCTTTTTTTTTCCATTTTTGATGCCAGGAATTTTTTTTTATTTGAAAAGAAGAAAAAAAATAAATGTTCAATATTTAAGAATTTATCAGTTTAAAGAAAATTTCAAAACCTACTTGGTTTCTGTTCTTATAATTGAAATCAGCATGAAGATTCTGAGACAGTATTATCTATTGCATAAGGTAGAATTCCTGTCTGAATTTCTAGGATGAGCAGTTTACACTATTTACATTATTTACATTCAGACTAATGTCCTCATCTTTGACTGAAACATTTTGTTCTTTGTACCTTCTGGCCTTCTTCAGATATGTCAATTTGGATAACCGTCAGTGAATTTTGAACTGAACCCTTTATATATATATATATATATATATATATATATATTCAAACAAAATAAATGTCTTTTTTTAGATTTTTTATACCTTTAGGATCCTTTTGACCAACGCTTTTTCACAAGGTACTTGTTGTCAATATACAAACACAATGAAAATACATTAATAATCTCCAAGAAATCACAGGGTGGTTTTTGACTGAAGAATTCTTAATTCTATACAGCATTGGACAATAAAACAAGACTTCACAGTCAAAAACCACCCACTGATTTCTTGGAGATTATTAATGTGTCTTTATTGTGTTTGTACATCGACAACAAATATCTCTTGAAAAAGTGTTGGTCAAAAGCATCCTAAAGGTATAATAATAAAAAAAAATTACACACTCAAAATGTCCAAACCACTACATAATCTTGAGTGTGAAATGCCAAAACCTAAACAATAGTAAATGCATATCAAAAAAGTTGGGGGTCCATCACACATGCAGGTCTTAAGCAACATCATAGTTTATTGGTGCGTGGCTTAATCGCACTGACCTGTACATATAAATACTCTATAGTGTAAGAAAAACAGTGCTCAATGTAAAGTAACAGAGCTACTTAATATATTAAGCAATATACAAACTATCTTACATTAATTGCATAACTCTGAGTTTCATGCTGAAGGAATTTCCAAATGCTGGAATTATATATATATATATATATATATAATGAATCCAGCACTTGAAAATTGCTACAGCATTTCCAAATGCTGGAATTATATATATATATATATATATATATATATATATATATATAATGAATCCAGCACTTGAAAATTGCTTCAGCATGAAACTCCAAGTTGTGCAACTAATGCAAGATGTTATGTATATTACTTTATATATAATGTATGTATCTATCTATGTGTGTATGTGTGCAAATATATTGAAAAATAGGTAAGAACCGTTAGGCTAATGATGCGAAGTTCTTTAGTATTTTTGTTTTTAAAAAAAACAGTGCTCGATATACAAGTAGAGCCTATATTATAATCATTTTTTTTTTAAAGTATGATTCTGTCGCTACATAAGAATTACTGTGTTTCAAAAACAGAAGCTAAAAACTTCCAATTCAATTATAGAAATTAAATTAAAGTACCTAGTTATGTTTCATCCTCAAGCGAATATTGGAATAACTAATTCTGAAATTTACGAAGCTTTATAAGCATACATTACGAATGTATATGCTTATAAAGCTCTATAAATTTCAAAATTAGTTATTCCAAAATTCGCTAAGTGTTTATAAGGGGTTTTATCATAATGAAGATCACTTAAATTGATTCAAGTCATTATATTTTGTGTAAAACTGTCTCAGAATCTTTCCCTAATATCAAACAGACACAGAAAAGAAGTTGACATTTTTATTTAAATTTTAAAAAGTTCCTGTCATTTATCCTCAAAAGAATTGTTTTAAAGAAAACTAAAATGTTTAGAATTCTTAACTTCATTTTGAAACTGATTCATCCTGTCTTTGTATTTCATGAAATGTTTCATGTGATGGTAAAAAAATAAATGTAAAAATTTAAATGTTTTCAATATTTGGTTAACAAGTAACTTTCAAAATTGATAATGGATCACAAAATATCACTAACTTTTAGTTTTTCTTGTTCTTTATTAATTTTATAATCCAGCATTTCCATGGCTGAAGATATGCATGTCTTGATGTTAATTCATTTCTAAAACTTTATATGAAAGATGGAAAAATTTTTTCTTATTTCAGAAATTTTATCAATATAGTAATTTCTGAATGAAGAAAGGCAATGGAAATACTTAAAAATTAAAAAAATATCCTACATTCTTTTCTTTGTCAAGTTAGGCTCTTTTTATTGAGTATAGATAAGAAAAGATTAGTTTTTTGGGGTTTTTTTTTTTATAAGTAAAATTAAGGAAAACACACATATAAAAGGGGGCTAAAATTTCTTGGCCTGATCCACTTCCGAAAATCTAACCAAATTTTCTTTTCTTAAATTTTTTCAGCCTGAGAACTTTTGAGCACCCCCCACACACACACAGAGTATCCTCTTATCTCTATATGTACACACACACACACACACAGTGATGCTAAATAAATTCTTGGTCTGTTCCACTTTATAAAATTGGACCAGTTTTTTTCATTTTTTTAAATTCTTTCTTGGTTAGGCTGAGAACTTTTCTGCATCTCCTCATACATATACATCTGCAGACACATGCACAATCCACTCCTCTCTCCCTATATATATATATATATATATATATATACACACACACACACACACAGATGCTAAAAAGTTCTTGGCCTGATACACTTTCCAAGACTGGACCAGGTTTTCTTGGTCAAGATGAGAACTTTTCAGCACCTCATAAATGCTTACCTTATTGGATGAATGCCTGAAGAGTTATTTCAAATGTTTATTGACCATCTCTGATCGGAGTTGATAAGATGGACATCGGTCAGTCATATCTCAGGACCATGTAATTGCTGGAAATTGTTTGTAGTTGACATTATTCTTGAAACATTACACTTAACAGAATTTGTGTTCTTTTTCTCTCACTTTTCTATGCTTCTTGATTTGATAGTTTAATTGAATGTTGTAGCTGAGCATATTTGCACACTCACATTTGGCATTGTCTACACCTGACTGTTTTATTTGTCAATTATTACCAAGATTAATATTCTATTCGTCTGTTATTTTGTTAAAAATCGAGGTTTATATGAGAGCTGTTTGGAATGTATACAGCCATGTTAATTTTAACAAAAGAAATAGTTTACCCAGGTAGTGTAGTGTCTTCTTTTATTTCTCTCTCTTGTCTCATAACCTTCCAGGGGTACTGTATGGTGGTTTGCTCATCAAGAAGCTTTTACTTGATCTGCTCATTGGCCAATGCTTTGATCTGAGCAAAACTTTTGCTGATTCAGTTGAAGATGATGTCTAACCATCTCTTTCTTTGGTGTCTCCTTCTTCAACATTCTCCTTGTACTATTCACTCAATCATTGTTAATGTAAAATTCACAAAGTAGACAAACTCATTCAATGGTGTATCAATATTGATTGAGTAAACCCATGGGAAGGCATTGTGGAGTAATGGATAGTGGCTCAGACTCAGGAATCTGAGAGCGGAGTTCAAATTCCAGTCAAATCCATTATATTCACTTATGTGCTAATACCCTTGTGAAAGGTATGAATCCTCTTCTTCTCTCCCAGCTATGAGTAAATAGCAGGTCAGACCGGGTTCTATAGCCTTGGATGGCAACTGGTTTACTGCAGAAAGAAATGGCAACCTCCTGCAGGAAAAAAACACTGCCTCGTCAGTCATATATCGAAAGATACATGATCGCCTAAGCATGTATCATGCATGGCACATAACTGACTGAAACCCTTGGGAGAGTTTCTGTTCATGCATGTGCTGGAAGATCCCATCTAATTTATTTTTGGGTTGCATTAAGTTTGTGCAACTCATTTTTAAATTTGCCTGGATATATTTCCATACACCTCCCCAATGATAATACTTTGCACTACTTATATATCTGTGGATGAATAATTCATTCAGTATACCTACATTTCACAGATTACCTTGCAACCTCAAGATTTATTAAGGATTACTGTGATGTTTAAAAAAAATGTCATTCAGTGAAAAATGAAGTCTGAATTTAAACTTATAAATTAATTGGCAGCAGTATTTAATCACAGACACATTCTTCAAACAATGAATATTGTGAATTTTTGAAGATTTTTTTTTGGTTTCATTCCTTTACTTTGAAACCAGAAGATGACCACGAATACAAATGTGAATTTAAGAATAGAAATAAAATGTTTGAATTTAATTGAATTTTAGAGAACTTGAGAAATTTGAGAGCTAGCCTTTAATAATATGATGACAAAATGAGTAAAAAAAGATCTAAATAGATTTTTACCAACTTAATACTAAAAAAAAAATTTTTTTTAAAATATCACCCCAAGAAAGGCAACAAAATCCACAAGGATCCAAGGGGTTACTTGGTAATGAAAAGAAACAGGGAGGACAATAAGAGAATGGGATTTAAGGAGACAGAAGATGACAATTGACATTACATTTAAACTTTTGAAAACTGTAGTTGATAGAAAAGGAGGAAGCTGGGAACTTTGTCTCTGGTGATTATGTTGGAGAAAAATTTTATTTTAACTGGAGTTTCGTTTATTTTATTTAAAATGCATATATTAAAAACAAGTTTTATTTTTGACAACATTTTGAATTTCAATGTGTGGCAAGAGATAAAAATCCCACTCAAATTTGGCTATTTTGGGTGTATTTCAACTGCTTGAATTTTTAATTTCTGTCAATGGTTTCCTTCAGCTTGGCCCACTATGATCATTTATAGATATTAATCAATTCAAATTCATTTAGCATTCACTCTGGGAGGGGTCTGAAATGTGGGAGGCTAGTTGACAGTCAGTGTTGACTTTGTGACTTGTGTGAGTAAGAATTGCTTGTTGTAGTTAGCTTTTAATATAGTCTCCTTGCCTTCTTTGATCTTCACCTAAGAAAGGTGGGGAGAAAGACATCTTTTTTTTTCTGCTGAATTATGTTTTTTTTTGTTTTGTTTTCTTGTTTGCTTTTATGTTGTTCATTTGTCTTTAGTCTCACCAATGTCCTCCCCTGCATTGTCACCTCCTTCATCGCCTGTTGCAATGAGCCCACGCTACCAGTCTTCCATCGAAATACCTCTGCTTTCACCAAAGTCCTCCAGATACATCAACAAGTGTTACACTATAAAAAACAACTGCAACACCAACGGTAAACTTTTTGCTTTGAGTTATTTTATTTCATTTTCTAACTAGTGAAGGTCTATTTGAAATTGTATGTGCGCGCGCACACACTTACACACACACACATATATATATATATATATATATATATATTACAATGGATTTTTTTATTAATGTGATAAATTTTTATCACTTTAAATGTTATTTTTAGTGGGTACTTGTATTTGAGTAGGTGCTCCATTTATTCAGGCCAGTAGATGAAAATAAATATGGTATTTAATAAACAAACAAACCACCTACTCAAATACAAGTATCCACTAAAATTAACATTTTAATGTGATACACACACACACACACACACAGTGAGGGTGTGATGGGTAAATTATCTAAATTATATAAAAATGAAAATAACACTGACATCCAAAATTACACAAAATATCTTGAAATACTAAAGCATAAATTTATGTAATAAAATCACCATTAGCTTCAACAATGGCCTCCAGTCAACTTCTTCTGGACGGTCTCCTTGTTTAAGCTGGTGAATGCTTCCATAATCCTTGCCTTCCGTTCGTCTTTATTGTTACAAGGAGTTTTGTTAGTCTCTTGCTCAACTGTGCCCCACATATAATAATCAAGGGGGTTGCAGGCTAGGGAGTTCGGTGGTCAGATACAAGGGGTGATGTAGTTGCAGAAATTGTCTGATAGCTGTGACTATGTTCTCTTGCTTGTGTCGCATGGTGCAGAGTCCTGTTGCCAGTCATAGGTTCTTTCAGTAGCCACTCTCTTGAGCCAGGACAGCACTATCTCCTTAAGGCACTTGTTGTAGTCCTCTGTGTTTAATCTGAGGACCTGTTGGAAGATGAATGGAGGCATAATGTCACCATCACTAATGATCACTCTAAATAGCTTCATGATCACCATTAGACTCATCCAACTCTTTTCAAATCTTTTGCACTGTCATCATCAAAGAATGCAAGATAGTTTTTTCTTGCCCAATTTACCCCTGAGGATGATCTTGGAGGAGATTGAAAGTACTTAGGTAAGAAAAGACTATGGCGCCTTCTTTGATGAATTTCATCTTAACATGAAGAAAATGATTAGAGAATAAGAAAGAATTATTATAAAAATAAATAGATATAATATGTATATATTATTCAATGAAACCTGTTTGAATGAAAATATATATATATATATATATATATATATATATATATATATATATATTGCTTATATCTCTATTTCAATTGTTTGTCAACTCTTAACTTCCTCTAAAGAATCTCTAAGGCTGTTTTCATAGTTTTGTAAAAAGTCTGAGGAAAAAGACAAAAATCAGGCAAAAATAATGGAAATGCCTTGCGAATGATTAAAATTTTTAATTCTGTTTACACCCCAAAAGCATGAAGAACAAAATGGAAGATATGATATATGAATCTATATATTGTGGGTAACTGAAATAACAAAACTGGAAAAAAAAAAAGAAAAAAAAAGTTACCTCAGTGACACATTCTACCCCAAAAAGGAACCATTTCAGACTAATAATGTTTTTGTCAATGGAATTGGTCTTGAAGGCATTTATACATAATTTTATAAATGTGAAAATATAGCTTGTTCCACAAAGCAGCTGTTTGTGAGAAGAATCTACTCAAGTGGAACTTGATCACCCCACTGGAATATGAAAAGAATGAAGGTGGTTTGCTACAATGTGTGGCATTGTGGTTCTTAGCCATGAAGATTAGAACTGGTGGAACTAAGGAATGAAGTTTATCTTAACACTTTCCATAGAAATAACGATAGAGCCATGAGAGGCTTGTGATATTTTGTCTGTGAGAGAGGGATTGTAGGGTAGGAAATAATTCATCACCCACAAGCACATGGAGATACTATTAGATTGTATTGGGACTGGAAAGTAAAGCCTGGGCAGCAATGCTCCATTTTAGGTCTGATCTGTGTTTTGTAAAGGTAGAGGTTAGCAGGAAGAGTCAGGTACTTATGGAATGGTACAGTGAACCAACCATTTTTCCATTCACCTTCAGCTATGGATCGCATGTATGAGTCCCACTTGAGGTCTGGGTTGAGTTTAAGGCCCAATAGTCATTTGACATGCGGCCCACTGAGAGAATATCCATTCATTGTGTTTGGTGTTAGTTTAGTGTGTGATTGGTAATATTGGAATGTAACAAGTTTGGTTTTTGTGGCATTGAATATAACCAGCTAGATTTTCTCTGAAATGTTAGAGCTAGACCAGATTAAGCAAGAGAAGTTCCTTTCAAGGACAAAAAGCATTCTTTTGGGTTTTACCCCCACATTTTCTCATTTGATTACTCCCGACAGTGTGAAATACAGGAAGAGTTGAACTAAAATGCTTCTTTTCTTTTTACTTTTTTTTTGTTTTATTCTTTTGCAACAAAGATCACATGACAATAGAAAATTGTACAATTATTTTTTTTGCTATTGTTGCTATTTTCCTACATGCGCTTTTGTAGATGAAGTTTCTCTCGCTTTGAAGAAAGTTTACTAACATACTCTACTGCATTTTCATTTTACTCTCTAACTCAGTGCATTAGAGCTTGCTTATTTAATTATCTTCATGTCATTTTCTTTTAGATTGCAGAATTCAAGACTTATTGTAATCATTAAACTTAGTCTGGCACAAGATCACAATAATGAAGCACTTACGATCAAACTTAAGAGACCATTGCACAGATGTTCTAGACAATTGCTAAGCTTATAGCACTCAGTGATGATCAAACTCATTATCAGTTGCCTGTGCAATTAGTTTGTTGTCCATTGTGCTACAACAACTGCTTCAGGTCAGGGTTTCTGCATTGAGCTTACAAGTAAAGAATTGAACAACCTTTGGAAGTTTAGCATTATTAAATTTTGAATCGACATTCATCTCAATCATAGCCCAAAGTCTCATGTTGCGAAATTCAAAATTTAGTACCACTAGACTTTCAAATGTAGCCTTAATCTGGCAACTTTGCTCTTAGCTTAGTTTGACACAAGGCCACAATAATCATGCTTCCAGCAATAAGCTTGCTTATTACCAATAGTTGGCATATTGATATTGGAAGAGAGTTGCCACTGTATCAAAAAATATTTACTAAGTTTAGACTTACCTGGAATTAGGCTAAAAATGTCTTCATATTTTGTAACTAAAACATAATTATAAATGTCTTCATATTTTATGATTAAAATAAATAATGGTCAGATATTATAAATATCTACACTGCTAAAATTTGTTTGTTTTGTGGCATTTGTAAGCTTGTTTTTAGGGGTATCTGTCATTAAATAATTGCCTTAAGATGAGGTGAAAAACTCGATTTTTTTTTTTTTTTTTTTTCAATAGAGCCAACTGAAACACTAGACATTATGATGAGATTTTTGTGATTTTATTCATAGCAGTTATATGCATGATGAATAAATATACATATAGGAAAATTTGGGATATACTACATTAAAATAATAGATATTCAAATACTTAATAGGTCAACATTGATCTGTGGAAATAAAAAGAAACTATAGTCAAATTGTTTAATGTGATCCCCTGTTTATATTTTTGGATGAACAACAGTATATAAAGCTTAGAAATATGTATTTACTTTTATTTGAATTTTTAAAGATCTTTAAAATTTCTTTGAATGTAAGATTAATTTGAAGCCTTATGTTGCTTTTCTCTCTCATTGTTTTTGTTTAACCATATCCATTCATTTTGGTTTTTTTATGTCTTTATATAATTCTTTCATTTTCTATTTAATAAATTCATACCTTCTTTTTCTCCACCACAGAACTGAAACAATCTAACTTTCACTTTCAGTTTTCGCACTGAATTTTTTTTTCTTATTTTAACTGTTTTTTCTTTCTTTTTTTTTTTTTTTTTAAACTGTTTTAAAAATCTTTTTTGTTTATTTCTTTCACCTTTCAAATGATTGTCTTAATTCAACCATACATATTCTATCTGTTATTAATGTGTTTTTATCTTATTTTTATTGTAAATTATAACAATTATTTTACTTTTCCAATTTTTCATGTTTTCTCTAACAAAACCTTTTTCATTGTTTTTTTTTCTCTAATGAAACCTTTTTCTTTTCAGCTTCTTTCACCAAATTCCTTTCTAACAGATAAAGATCTCCCTGGATGCTTCACGACCTCATCAATTTACTTTATTTCATTCTAATTTTCATTCATTTTATTTGATCTTTGCTTCTGTTTTCTTGATCATTACTCTATTATTCTATCTTGTTTGTTTTTATTTATTTGAAATCCAAAAGAAAAAAAAAATTCTTATCAAATTTTTCAAAAACGAAATAAAAGCACAAATCTGTCCTTGTAATGAAAATCACCTTCCTTTGTTCTATCTACTAGACCTGTGCAAAGAACCTCCACCACAAGCACAAGGGGGGCAGTCTAGGGACATTAGTGTCACCGTGAGGACTGCTCCTGCTTCATCTTCACTGATTAGCCATCAATTAACCCCACCATCTTTTGCTGCCATCAGTCAGGTGCCTTCACCTGTTGGCAGGACCATCTACTCAGCAACAATGACTAAACAGTTCAATTACCCAGATTCTGCGGATGAATCCTTGTCTATGGAAGCTAAAGAGGTGGCAGCTATAACAGCAACTATGCCAGATAACAAAAATGATTCCACTTCAATGCATGAGGATGGAGCCAACAGGTCGCAGCTTCAGTCATCAGCAAGTGCTGAAATTGCATCAATCATGATGAACATGGATGCCGTTAATGCTGCTCTTACTGCAGAATTGGATGCAACTACTACTGCTGCAGCTGCTGTTGCTGCAAAAATTTCAGATATCCATAAAGAATCTCCTCCAAAGCTGACTCAGTCTGTATTCATTGCTAAGGAACGACGTCGCTATCCTGAACCAGCACCAAAGGCTCCAGATTTAAGTTTATATCAACCACCAGATAAATACAAAAGTACTAATGCTGTTGACACTCTTGTGCAAGTTGGTAATATTTCTACCCTCCCAAAGATAGAACCCTTAAAAGTGCAGCATGTCACGACCGTTAAAGTGGAAGACAGAATACAGAGTGCTAAACCACCTCTTGCATTTGGAGACCCCTGGGTGAAAAGAGGCGATGTATATCCGAAATCTAACCAGCTTAAAATGCAACAGCAGTGTCAGTTGGCTGAATTGAGAGCCCAGCAAAACAAGTTGGATGAACTACTTGCTGACTTTAAAGGTAGTCTATACATTTCTGCATGCCAGGTTATCCTCTAACCTCCCCAGTTGGACCAACGCCCTGTTCTTTACTTACCTGTACAGTTTCTTTGTTGTAACAAGTTCAAGGAAAACTTAATTTATTATACTATGAGAAGGGTGCTGAAATTTAACCGACTGACTAAAGAATAGATTTTTATATTTTTTATTTTAAGTGCTTTTTACTTGGGCTGATAACTTTTCAGCACCTCCTCATAGTATAATAACTAAGTGATAATTGATCTCTTTATGGACTGATGCAATAATATTGAAATGAAAGATCTGAGGGAATGTTGAAAAGTTCTCAGCCAAAACCAGTTTCCACAATCTGATCAAATGAGTAAATATCCAAGTTCGGAGAAGGAAATCTCTTCTTGAATATGTCAAACTTTTCAGCACCCCTTTTATTCTAAGACATCCATTGGCACGTAGGTCTACTGTTAGGTGGAGGGAGCTTAGGCCTTGTTTTTATTTCTAAAAACACATTGTTTGGGAAAAAAATTAATAGCTTTAATTTTTTTATTTTCAAAATCATTGCTAAAATATTAAATTAATAAGTCTATAGTACACTATTTACATTATTCGGACTATTGTTCTCATCTTTGTCACCATATTTATTACGTTTCTTTAAGTGATATCTGGTCTTTGTTTCTCAAAATTTATGAGAAGGCAACTGATTTTGACAAACACTTAAAAAAGGCCAGAGGGCCTAAGGGTCAAAGTGTTGTTAGTATAACAATGAAGATGAGATGCTCTTTCAAATAGTAAAACACAAGGATTATTCTTCATCTAAAAATTTGAAAATAAAAGATCAGAACAGATTGATCCTACAATTGAAAATTTATCTTTGATGAATTTTTTGTTGCTTGGATCTGAAAATTAACTGAAATGGCAATGAAAATGAGGAAAAAGAAATCTCTGAATTCTCTTCAAAACTTTGATGATCATTACTGTTTACCTCATAGCTGGGGGGAGAAGAGATGGCTTCATGCCTCGTCTAAGAGTATTCGTGAGTAAATGAATATAACAAACCTGACTGGAGTTTGAACTCGGCTCTTTGATTTCCAATTCAACGCAGTTATCCATTATATCACCCACACATCCAATCTTACAGCACCTAGTATTCTCAAGCTATCTGGTGACTGACAAAGCTCAACATTGCTTAACTTCAGTGATCAGCTGAGAACTAGTTACAATGTGATATGATCATAAGCCCTAATTTTAATGCCAAAGTAGATTCTTAGTTTTAAAGTGTGTGTGTGTGTGTGTATATATATATATATATATATATATATATATATATATATAATAATGCCCAGCTATTTGATTCAGAGCACACCCATCCACTAGGTACTCCTTGCTGCAGATGCCTGCTCAGGCACATTTGTATTAGTTCAACACTCATGGAGCTCACCTGTGGTTTATACTGTGCAATTATTAGTTACAGTTTCTGAGAGAGAGAACATAATCTGACAGGATCAGGAACAAGGCCAGTACTCTCAAGCCCACGGTCATGATGACTTAGGACTTCATGTTAGCAGCTTTCGTTCTGTCTATCCAATTTCACTCACAAGACTTGGGATAATCTGTTTCCAAAGGTGCTGCATACTTGGATTACTTTCCCCAGTCTGATATCAAGAATTCACTTCTCTGACAAATAAAATATGGTAAGATCTGAACCCTGGTCTCATGGAAAGCAAATGTTCTAACCACTCTGCCATATGCATATAGATGGCACATATATGATAGGTGACAATTTGTTAAGTGTGTATAACCATCACTGACAAATTTTGATCAGGCTTTTGCTTCAACAATGGCTTTTGAAACCTGCAACCAATATGATTCTTCTTGTGGCCAATGAGGTCTGAATTGGAGAGACATACACTGCCACAATCATCACATGTAAATTGCTGGATTAATGATTTCTCCTTTTCTAGCTGCACACTTGACATTTGCCCAACTCATTTCATATATATATATATATATATATATATATATATATATATATATTATATTATACACACCAGGTGTAACAGCAGAAATTGTCCAAATTATGTAACAGTAAAATTGTCCAATTGTTAGATTAAGCTTTGAACCATTGTATCTTAGAAATGATTAAAGATATCTTAGTGGAATTCTCTGAAGTTTTTATAACATTATTGGATTCTACTGTGAACAATAAAAATGTATTTATGTTGAAATGAAGATCCCTCTTCATGTTGTGACCTCCTGATCCAGTTTTCCTCTCTACTGTTCCTTGTTTTTTTAACTTATTCACCATTCTCTTGATGATTCTTGAATGCAAGCCAGAGTATGAATGTTGGTACCATTACTGAAGGCCTGAATGATATTTTTCCTCTGATCATTGCTCGTTTGGGAAGATATAGTGGGTTTCACACAAAACGATTTTAACTTTTTCTCTGTCTAGCAGAATAACACAAAGGGTTTTTCAGTAATTTTTATGACAAACGGTGTCAAGATGGCTAAATGTCATATCTGAAAACCTGGAAAAAAGAAACTCAATTAGTTTAGTGGTCTTTTAGATATTAAACATTTTGTGAAATAAACAATTATCCCATACTGTTACAAAATTTGGACAATTTTTTTTTTTTGGTGTTACATCTGGTATGTGTTTGTGTGTATATATATATATATATATATATATATATATATATAATTTCACACAAGTAGAAAAACATAGATAATATTTCAACCAAGAATTTAGACAACATGATAAAGGCCAGATTAACTGAAATGTAAGGACTGAAACAACAAAGATCAAAATAGTCACTTAGATAATTCATGTCACAGTAGAATATTAGTCATCAATGTTGATAGACTGCTTATTGACATGGAAGAAATAGAAGCACAGTTTCTGAAAATCAGTTTCAATATCTTCAGCATTCAATTAAAATCCCTCAAAAATGAAAATGGTGAAATAGTGATCTGTCTATATTTCTGAGATGAGGAATTATGTACATTATTTACATTATTCAGACTATTGTCCTCATCTTTGTTGGCATATTTATCCATTAAACATGGCATGTGGAACTAGAACAGTCTACCCCAGTGAGCAAAATAAAGGGTTCGGTTCGATATTCCAACTACCTGAAGAAGTCTGGAGCATATAACAGCCGAAATGTTGTAATAAATATGGCGACAAAAATGAGGACAATAGTCCGAATAATGTAAATAATGAAATAGTGATATTGAAATAAGTCTTCCCACATTTACATATGAGTGTGCTGCCTTATATATATATATTAAATAAGGCAGCACACTCATATGTAAATGTGGGAAGACTTATTTCAGTATCATTATTTCAGTATTTTCATTTTTGAGGGATTTTAATTGGATGCTGAAGATATTGAAACTGACTTTCAATATATATATATATATATATATATATATATATATATATATATATATAGATAGTCCTTCTATCACAGAGAAAGAGGCAGTCAAATGAGACCTTGGTTCCCATACTCCACAACAGTTGTTTTGCAGTGCTGTGTGGCTGAAAAATATTTAATGTTTAGTTTCTGGTATTTTTTTATTTATTTTTGTTTGTATTATACTAATGTTCACTCAATACAAGACCTAAGAGGTTTATTTGTAATGTTGTTTTTGTTTAAAATAGTCAAGAATTAGAAAGGCCATATAAAGAGTATCAAAGGAACAGAAGATTAGGTAGGGAAAACAAAGAAGTGGTTTATTAAATTCTCATACAAAGAACGGAAAAAACTTCAGTAAACCAACTACTCCTCAAATCCTACTCTAATGTGGCTACTTGCCATATTTATAAATAGGAGCAGTTCATTTGTCACAGTAATAGGGAGAGAAGGACGTATGCCGAGTCCTACTCTGCAACATTACTGTCTGGTGTTGCATGAGTATAAGAAAAGGTAAAAAATGCAGCTCATGAGACTATATAGGAAAGATAACCATTAACTTTAGACTAGGTTGGGATTGTAGTGATTGGGAAAACATCTTGCCAGGAGTCTGTTCCAGGAAGCAGTAGTTTTTGGGAAGATGCTGTCTAAATGAAACTTAGTTTTTATGAATATGAGTTTGTAGAGAATTAAAAAAAGGTTCATCATTGTGTACGTGGCATGGTGAATCACAGTTGTAAGTCTCAGACTTGGTAGAACCAAAGAATGTAGTTTGTCAAAGCATATTCCATGACGATATTTTGTCTGTGGAAAAGGAGTTGTCGGGTGGAAATTAATTCCTCACCTAAAAGGCCTTGTGCTGATGTTTTTCAACTCTGCCAAGACAAGCAAGTGAGGACTAAGCAGCTCCAGTTGTTTATATTGGAAATTCTAACAAATTCTAGATGTGACACTGAAGTTTGAAATTTAAAGAAAAAAAAAGTACTTAAGGTTTTGCTAATGCCTTTGACTGCATCTCTAATATTAACTCTTAATTTTTGTGTTAGAAAAAAAGATGTGCCCCAAAAAAAAAACACCTTCTCCTGTTTTTTCAGTTTCCTATTTTTTTCCTCCACCCATTTTGCTTTGAGTTTTAACAAAATTTCTTTTTTTTTTTTCTTAAATTTTATCCTGATTTTATCATTCTTTCCACTTGTATAATAAAGAAAAAAAACTGAATTAGAGCTTCAATGTAATCAGTTCACCCTAAACAGATGCGGCTAGTGACCATCATTTTCATAATGTTTATATCAAT